AGTCTGAGGAGATTTTTTGAAGATAAAAACATTTATTTAGAAAAAGTCAAAAGATGCTTTGTGCTTTGGAGTTAGAATATTTTATATGTTCATAACAAGTTTCTAAGAGACCTGCTGCTTTTTGATTAGATAAGTTGGAGATAATGTTTTGATATACCTAGATAAATATTGTATTTTATGCAATACATATAACAGTCAATTATACTAGCTAACATATCCAAACTCACATATACTAAACTCTATTATTATTAACACAATACAACAATTCTTCAACAATTCATAACTAGATATAACAACTATACAATTACAAGAACTACATAACAAACTTATTAATCACCTATGTATTTTTCTAACCAACCTTAGTAGAAATTGCACAAATATATATACAACTATACAAGGCTTCATTCCAACTACATTAATCAATACTATATAAGAATATACTACTAGCAACCAGTTACCAACTGATACTACAATAAAATTCTTAATCCAACTATCTCAAAACATATATAACCAAATATGAAAACCATACTGTATCAAACTATCAGAATAGAAATAGCAAAATAATATCTCTAACCAACTACTACATAACTGACCAACTAATTTTAACATTCCAACCAGATTATTATCACAAACCCAACTATCATATACCTATAGCTGTATTTGTAGACTTCTAGACCAACAGTATACAGGTGACTTCTACAACTCTTATATTTGTCCACCACAAGGAAAAGCAAATAAAAAACTATTTAAATAGATATCTGAATAGATAAACTATAGTACTCCTACTAATAATATCTTACAATATTAAATCTAAATAAGTTTTAACCACTCTAGTAGGTTTAGGTTGCAGATAATTAGATAAAATTAGATAATAATTTTGTTTATAGTCTGAGTCTCATTCTTGTAAAAAATTTGTAAATTGACTCTAGCCCGTGTCAACTCTTGTAGTTGCCCAAAACAAATTAATAATAAAGATAAAGGCAAAACCTTACCTTAACATCAAAAAAAAAAAATAATAAAATTTTAAAAAATTTTATTAAATAAAAAATTTTTTAAGCTTTAAATAAATATATATTTGTTTAATTTGAATAGATATTTGATTTTTAAAAAATTTTATCAAGTAAAAAAAATTTTTGTTATACTTTTGTATAAATATAATATTTAATATAGAATTTGTATATAATATATAAACAGACTACTTAAATTAACTACTAAAAGTATATATATAACTAGTAGTACTTTTTGATATAAGATTGTTTTTAAAGATTTTTATATTCAAAAACAATACCTAATTCAAAATAAATCTTTTTTGTTTGTAATTAATTACAAATTAAATTATTTATATTAAATTTAATTGTAATATATATAATTTCTTACCAATGTTAATATATATGTAATATTAAAAGTTTCTGCTATATATTTATATAACTTGAATAAAATACTTTGTAAAAAAAGAAACTTTAATATAAATATATATATAATTTTCATTTATTTTTTTACTTTTTTTAAAAAAATAAATAACTAATAGTAATTATTATTAAAATGCTATATCTTAAAAATAGAACTAAAAAATAAAAATCGGATATACTAAATAAAAATAATTAGAATTCTTAAAAACCTTATATAATCTAAAATTTGAACTATCATATTTAAAATTTATTTTATTTAAAACTGTATCTAACTCTAAAAATAGAGACACGTAGTAATAATTACTACTGATTAGTTTAATACATATTTCTTTTAAAAAAATATTTCTAATTCAAAATTTTTATTTATAAACCTACTTTTTGGTTTTTACCGTATATAGTACTTCGGGTACTATTTAAGAAAGCCAGCATTAGGAGAAAGAAGAATAATACAAATAACCATTGTTGACCACTATATACATTGCTACTGAACATACAAACACAATAAGAAGATTGTAACTATTAATTATAAAAATCGCTTTTCAAAAAAATGGGGGATATTTATTCCAGGGGGTACTATATGCAGCACTATATGGTAATTAAAAAAAAATTGCATACAAAAGTTTACTATATATTTACGTATTGCCTAACCTTTAACCATTAATACAGTAATATTTAATTAAGAATGAATCTAATTGTAACATCTTAGTATAGCCAATAAAAACAAATAAAAATTCGTGTAATCCAAACCCTAACTCTAAATTCTATTGACTAACTATAGGGTGTTACATGTAACAGCTGTTACGAATACATTTTTTCTTTAATGAATCTGTTTTTGATTTATAGTGGTTTTTTTTATTGTTTTGAAATTACACTAATACCGGTGTTGAATATCACGGCGTGTTTTAATATTGTATTAAAAAAAACTATTTTCATAATTTATTTACAATAGATTTAACCAAATTGGTGTATGATGGATTAACAAGAAGACTGTGTAATTTTTTATTAATAAATAAGATTTAAATGCTAATATCTCGTGATATACGAAGTCAATTTAGTCATCTGACCACAACCTTTGATATAAAAAAAAAATAACAGTAAAAAAAAAAAACGTCTACTAAACTTTAAAAGAATTTACGGTAAACTTTTTGCTATATCTATTCACTGATTGGTTGGCGAATAAGAATTGAAGAATATATACTTATAAATTTTCAGATTTAAGACCAAAAGGTTTATTGACTAAAAATATATAAAAAATCAATTATCATTTTTTTACTATGTATAGCAACAATAAATATGATGATGCTACAAAGCATCAGTGGCAGATCTGCCAAGTTCACAGATTACAAATCAGTAATTATCCGAAAAAAAGTATTTGGAAAAAGAAAATGACTAAGAATAAAAAGAAATCTGATTTCAAGCAATAAATTACAACCCTGTATGGTAAACTATACATGGTGTAGGAACTCTGCAACGCCATGTATATATATCGATATGGTGGATTATAAAAAAAAGGGCCAATCCCATACATATTGCTTTTTTCGAATTTACTTTGTTACTGATATGTAAATTGAGTAACTTGTATACCGGAAATATATCACAAGTTCTCACGTTAGACCTCATGTGGTATCCCACCTTAAAAAAAACTTAGCCTTTTTGTATACGTATTCGTAACTTAAAAGAATTATGCAAAAAAATTTTAATGAAGAAATTGTTATTGTCATGGATGTGACTTATTGAGGCCTTGTTATCTAAATTTATTAAATTTATACAATCGCGCCATCAAAATGATATATATATATATACGTATGTACATAATTTTTATTCTCATTTGGAAGATCACATGAGTTATATACAAGACTTTTAAATTCACTCGAATTAATTCCGTATAGTGATCGTGTAAAGATGAAACTTAAAGACGACAGTTTCAGAGTTCAATATATTCTTTTAATGATTTTCTTGGTGGCATTTAAACTTGTGATAATCAACCAAATTTTGCAGTAAACATTGTGCGTTTTATATTAAAAATAAATTTTAAATTAGATGATTAACCTAACAATATTCGTATTAGCATTTGAACTTGATTGTGTACTACCTTTGATATACTTAAGGGATTTCATTCGTAGAATCAAAAAATGTTAGCTCTGGCGATCAAACGAACAATTAATTGGTCGTAGTGGTAGATCACGATGCATGCATGACTTTAATTACCGATTACGTAGTACTTGCGTACAAAACTTATCGTTATCTGGTTGACGTTTTGAAAACAAATTAAAATTCTTTGTAATCATCATTTCGGTACTTGAGCACTGGCAAGGAATTGAATCCTGAAGTGAGAAAAAACGCCTTTAGAAAGAAGATTGACTCTGCTTAAGTAAATATTGAATAAATAACGAGTGCATTGGAAATTGAGTTAAGGAGAAATGTGATACTGCCTCGAAAGTAGTTCATTAGGATTTGTGGTTAATTATCAATGTTTTGATGGAGAGTCTGAATTATTACTAATATTAATTACAATTATTATGATTATTAATTATGGTTATTATTACGTATTATACGGTTATTATTATTATTATTATTATTGTTATTGTTTTGTTATCGTTATTCTCGGTGTCGACCTTACAGTCATATTACTATATATTTTGTGTAATAATCATAGATGAGTAAATCGAATGTGAAGAATAAAAGTTTTCATATACTTACGAACTTGCGAATTCGAGATACGTAGATATGTATTATCGTTATCGTGAGATAATTTCCTTTACCTATATTAGGTTATATAGCCTCCCATTAAAGTGTTATCTGATATAAATGTCTTATTCGCCGACTAGAATCCAAATTAGGTTAAATGCGGTACATTATTGTCTGATAATGACATTGTTTTGTAGTGGCATAAAGTTTGTTACAACGATCTTAATTCTATAACATAAAACGTTTTATGAAACATATTTTGCAAGTAATTTCCGATAAAAACAAAAAGGTCCGGAGAAGTTTCCGATCCTGAAACCTATATCTTTATATATATATATTATATATATTTTTATGTATTTTGTAATAGATTATTATATGCATGAACGCGCTTAAAAAGTACTTTGCTTACCATTACTTTGTCTTTGCTTTTGCGTTTGCTTTTTGCCTACGCTGTGGTCCGTCAGGTTTAATATACCTGCAAATGCAACAAATCTAATAAAAAACGCTGTCTAAAAAAGGAAACGAATTTAATATTACGTTTATTTATGTTTATAATGTTTTCCTAAAGCTCTTAATCTGACTTCCCGCCAAAAGAGAAAAAAAAACCATTTTCCACTCCGGTTGGGTTCATCCATACCTTTTTATCCTAATGTTGCGAGTCCTTAAGTAGCAATATTAGATAATAAAAATTTTTCATTCCTTTTTTATTCCTCAAATATCTTCACCCATCCATTGAGAGGGCTGGTATTCGTGACAAAAATTACTCATATTCATCACATCATATATATCCTTTATCAACAACGGCAGGTCCTTTGATCTTTTTTTTAAAAAAGGAATAATAATAATAATAGTGTTATCTCTTTCAAATTTTATGATCAAAAAAAGAAAAAGGCGGGTTAATAAATGGATTCTAGTCTTGTATATCAATTCATTCATGTCCTTTCTCTTCCTTTAACATTCATTCTCATGTTGGTGTACAAAGATCATAAAAATCATCCTACAATAGCATGTTATTCAGGAACATTATTTCTATCATCACTAGTATCAAGTTTAATAGGCTTTATCCGATTAATTCAAAACTCAAAATCTGAACAAAATATCATTTGCAGCCTTCAGGCCGTTTTGATGATTTATGTTATGCTTGCTTCAGATATATGGCCCGTTTGTATCGCTTTTAATGTTTGGGTTCAATTTAGTTCTAATAGTTTACAAGGGAGGGATAGATGGTCTATTAGGATGTTATTGTTCGTTTATGCAATAATGAGTTGGGGTGTGCCTGTATTCTTAACTCTCGCAGCTTCCATAAAACCTATTATGAATGGAGATATGATTCCTTGGCCCAATTACTGTATGCCTACTCCGTCTGGAATGTAAGCATTTTTTTTTTCCTTTTGTTCCAATTATGTGTTATGCCTCCCGATTAATAATCATCTGCTCGATTTAACTTCATTGTATAAATTATCAATAGTCTCGCAGCTATCTTTTTCATAGGTGCAGCGGCCATAATCACAACTTTAGCATTCTCAGGTAAATCTTTTATATTCAAGTTCTTTTTGAGTATCTTTTAGGAGTGAAATATATTTTCTTTATTATTAAACATTATATCGTGTGATATTTTATAGTTAGGAATGTTCTATTAACACTTAAATATGATACCGGTCAATTAAACGATAGTCTTGTGGTTGTGAATAATTCGTTAAATAAAAGAATAGCCATATTTGGGATCACGATCACAGCGCCTTTTTTCATCATTTTTAGTGAGTTTCTATTATATTGCATATTATATCGTGCACATCAAACGTTTTTGCGTTATTGATAATGATTTCTATTTATGATTTTTATTTATAGTTGCTAGTATTATCTCTTTTCTTATCGAGAGCCGTATTAATTTTATTTGGGTCATTTGTGCTGATTTTACGATGTCTGCAACACCTTGGATCACGTTCGGTATACATTATATAATTTACCTATTCTTTGTCTACTAGATTGTCTTATTCATTTCAATTTTGTAGTATTCTTTGGAACCACATCTGAGGCAGCTCGTAAATATTTGCCAAAATGTTGTTTTTCATATAAAAACAAAAACAATGTACTCGTAAGACCTTCGATGATAAATCGATCTTTACGAAAAAGCACAACCACCCCATCTTTGACATCACGTGAACATTCTCTGGATGATCCGAATGTAGTAACTGAAGAAAAAAGCTCTCCACAAACTCCTCAATCGAACTTTGTAATGCCAGGTGGCAGTAGTGTGTCGACATTTAGTCAACGCATGAATCCGAATTCACCTGATCCATTTAGTCATCGTAAAAATCCTTCTTTGACAATTAAAATTGATCCTATCAGACCTGCAAGTGATTCAAAGATGGCTAATTCTAAGGTTTCATATGTCCGAAAAGGCAAAGAAAGAGCAACTGCTATAAAGAAATCTCTTTTACACAAAACTTATGCGGACGACTCAAACGATGATTATAGTTACTTAAATGTGCTATCTTATGGACCTAAGAATCAAGATTCTTCGAAAAATAAGAAAGTCCATGTGTCGCGTGGCAAATCCTCTGCTTTCTATGAAACAGCAATGCCAAATCGTAGATCTCCGCGCCAAATGCGACACACTATTACCGAAGGTAATTACATGGACGACTTTTGATGCTAAAAAAAAAAAAAAAAAAGTTATATGTGAAAAGTAATTAAAATTTTAAAGAAAGTGCAAGTCTGATTGGTTAAGATTTTTTAATCAACCAAAACTTAAGAAATATTAGTATTATTCACATCTTCTAATGTAGTATTCTTTTCATTCAATTACAGGAAACAAGACTCAATCCCGTGATATTTCGGATGAACCAGTCAGACATCTCTTGAAACAATTTTCGTTCGAAAAACGACATAAATCTGAATCTATACTTAAACTTCCATCTGAATTTGGCATAAAAACTCATTCACATCATAGTTTGCTATCACTAAAAAGAGAAATAGATAATCATGTGGAAAATGTAATGTCATCATCGACTACATCACAAATAATAGTGACGGGTGATTCGCAAAGCATAATATCATTGCCACAACCGTTATCCTCATTAATGCCTCAAACAGGATTATCAGCGCCTCCACATAAATCATCCAAAGAGTCCATAAAAAAAGAAACAATAAATTATCCTCCAAATTTCTACCTCACTGTAAATAACGGTTCTTCCTCGTCGACAAATGCGACATTTGGATCACCGATAACTTCAAAACCAATGGTGACAGGCATTGTTAATTCCACTCTCGATCAAAACCATTCTGCGGAAAATAGTAATAATCTTTTATTTCGTCCACCACCGTTAAGATTACCATCGACGCCTTCATTTGGCACAATGGCAGTACGTTCGACAAAAAGCAGAACAAATACGCAATCATCATCAAGTTCAAAATCCTCAAAAACATCATCCAATAATCGAAGTAGTGCTGGTACCACAAGGTCTTCTAATGGATTTACTTTAACACCAAGAGGCAGTCATCCTTTTAATACTACACGACCTGTAACCAGTAACGATAATGGATCATCACTTGCTTTTGGTGATGAGAACGAAGAGAGGATGGGAGAGCTTAGGCAAATTGTAGAAGAATTTGATCAAGCTTCATTTAAAACACAGAATTCATCACAGTGATAAATGTCAAGAATTCTGTTATGAATCATTTTTTTAAATATATTGATCTTTTTTATGTCGCCTTGGACGGATGGATACAATAATACCTGAACAATTGATATACATAATATATATAGACTCACGTGTTCTTTAAAAAATTACAAGATATTTGTACACCAATTTTTTGGCCTTATTTTTTTTTTGTTTTTTTTTTTTTTTTAATATTTTTGTGTAAATTATTTTGCTAGACTATTAATCATTTTTATCAGTATTAATAATAGAGTTATTGATAATGGTAATTTGTATTTTTAACAACCGCCCTTATTTTTGTATATTTTATTTGATATATACTGTATTTAAAAAAAGACATTTTTTCTAGCAACAAAACATTTGATATTTTTTACAATGGCCAAATTTGATGTAATTTATATACCCAACTTAATAATTTAAAATTTGTAATCTGTATAATTTGGATTATATCATAATATTGTAAACTTTATATAATAAAAAACATAGTTAAAATCCATCTAATCTGTTCTTTATACTGTACGTAGAAATACGTATACAAAAATTACCCGTGGAATGGCCTTGTATCAGCTGTGCTTGGATACTAACAAAGTTGGGTCTAGTTTCAAAAATTCAGGTGTGTAATCGAACTAGGCTTAAAATATTCAGAGAACCCGGATTTTAAGCTGATTGGCCGAGATTGTAGAATTATCGACATCCTTTTCGTTATGCTAATTGACTATATCAATCACATATTTTTGCTGGGATCTGAATTTGGCGAAAATACAATCAATCGTATGACGATTTGCCGAAAGCAACATCGAAGAACAAACTTTCTTCAAATTTTTATTGATATCTTTACTATCATTAATAAAAAGGATATTATCTAAGCTGTTTAATATTCCTCTTAGTTTTGATTAATAACATCTATTTAAGACAATTTATTTTTCGAATATGATGCCCTTTATTTATTTTATGTGCTAAATTTAAAACTTTTATATGATAAACTGGTCAATAGCCAATCTTGACCAGATATATTGTATATAATAATAAATATATCTTTAATAACAAACCAAATTTTGAGATAACTAGTAATTTGATATTAAAATACATCTGGTTGTTAATTTGAAATCAATTGATTTGTTTTAATTTATTGATTTGTCCAAATATTTACATTCGATAATTAAATAAAAAATTATATGCCATAAGGAATCTGATTTCGTCTATATCGTCTATTGGTTTGCTAACAATCATTTTTGATAACCTTTTTGTAACCTCACGCATATTAATACATTTACATTTATACGTACGTATACACAGTTCAGATACTTTTATTTTTAGATTACTGATAAGTTTTACAATTTTATTAGTACGTATTCGTACGTATCTTCGTTCAAGACAAGATATGGTTTCATTGTATATTGATCATGAACTTTATAAATATATAAATCAGGATCTATGCATTTTATGGGCTAACTCAATATAGCAATCATATGTATCAGAAGCAAATTTAGGATCTTTTTCTTGACATCTTCTTAATGTGAGACCAACATAAAACTGTTTACTATCATAATGACTTTGAGACTGTAGATACCTGCAGCCTGTGTGAACGATTTTCCTTCTAAGATTTCTGACCGATGTAAAGAATGAACTTCATAAATAATAATTATTTAAATCATTTTTACTGTTCTTTTTAGATAATTCTAGATCACAAGATGTATATTCGCATATAATTTGTTATTTCTATCTTGTAAAACATTATCACTATGCAAACTGCGAGTAATTGTAATTTAATTTCCAAGGTAAGGTCTTGAAAGTTACGTATTTTTTAAAAAAATCATTAAGACTTACATTATTAGCATATTGAATATATATACATATTCGTTTCGATTTTATTAGTCAATACAGAAATTTTAAAACTTACTACTATACTTGTTGGCAAAATCCCAAACTATTATAAAATTAGTTTGTCCGTGCCCAAATCCCAAACTCTGGCCAAATTCATATCTCAAAAATTTAATTAATAATCCTTATTCAAACTAATATCAGATATTCTTATAGTTATATATAATATATTAGCAAAATTTCAATACTATTTTTTTGATTCAATTTTTTATAAATAACAATTGTTTTTTTGAATTTGTCCAGGTTTTGCCATTTTGCCGGCAAGTATACTTACTACCGTATAATATGGTATATAAATGTTCTAAATGGTTGTTAAGCTTTCAATAAACAATAACTATTGTCGCGGCTGAAGCTGGAAATTAGGGACCTTAATTTGAAAATATAAAAACTACCAAACTCTACTTGTATCGGGTGTTTCAAAAGTCTACTACATGGTCACTTTTTTTTAAGTGACTTTATACGGTTATATATATAGATTACGATGATATGTAATCATCGTGATCTCTATATATGAATTTACTTTAAAAAAAGGACTGTGTAGTGGACTTTTGAAACACCCGGTATATTTTTATTATCAAAACTAACCCTAAAGTTTAAGCTATAAAAAAAAACCAAAAAAATGCACCCAAAAAAATTTGAACATTTCATATTAAATTATTTAAAATTTTTAGCCATGACATCTGTTTTTTTAAATATTTAATTCGTAATTCATCTAAGGACTATAGATTTTTTTAATTTTATTATTAATAAACTATAATTCTTAGATGAATCACCAACTAAATCAATAAAATTCTTTATATATTAAATTATTAATAAATCTATTTGTTACTGCGGTGACAGTAAGTAAATGACATGGTTAAAAACCTTGCATGCCATATGGCTAGGGTTGGAGGCACGGGAAAAAATTTGGGCATGCCCTTAGGAGCATGCCCCTCTTATTATGCCCGGGGGCATTTCCCTCTATATATATCAAGTACTATACTGTTAGATCTAATCACTATAAGAATCTTTTTAAAAATTATATAATATATTTAAGACTTAAAAAATTTCAAAATTATAGATAACTTATATATTTTAATTATTTAGTACTAATCTTAAAATTTGATAAGTTGTTATACAAAATGTTTAGAAATATATATTCTTAAGATAGTTGCTAAATCTTGTAGCCAATTCGTATACTTCTATTACATATATTTAATATTTATAATTGCATAATATTGGCATGCCTTTTGGTTTAAGAGCATGTCCTTAGGCATGCTCAAAAGAGCATGCTTTTAAGATATGTTTTAGATTACTGTGTTTTCAACTCTACATGTCATTAATTACGTGATAAATATACATAATTTGGATTGGTCAGTTATCATCTACTACAAAATAACCTTTCAGAATACTTGAAGCATTGCTTTAATCTTTTTTTCGAAATTTATATTATATTATTTTATTTTTGAATCAATTTTGACATAAGAAACCTCTATTCTAAATCAATTAATTAGTAATAACTTTATTAACAGAGTTCTTTATATCAAAGTTGAACCTTGTTTTTGATTTAGAATCTTTTAAAATATATAAAAATGATATATATTAGTCAAAGTAAAAAAATTAAGTATTTGTCTTATTAAAATTAATATATACCTTAATTGTTATTAAATTACAAGTTTGTTACAATACTAATTAATACAAATTTATGCAACAATTTGATTTATATAAAATTATAAAATAGTTAACTTTAATTGATGTTAATTGTTAATGTAATTTTATATATAATTAAAAATATTTATTTAAATTTAAAATTCAAAATTTTGAGATTAAGTTATTTTAAAATAAATTTAAATTCTAATATATATATAATACTATAATTTTGAAAGTTTTAATAATAAGAATTACAGTAAAAATTCTTTTTTATTAGTTTAAAATATATAATAATTATTGTAAAATTTTAAAATATTAGATATAAGTATTATTTTATTTTTTTGTTAATTATATTTTTTTAGTTTAAAGTTATATTAAAGAACTCTTAATAAACCAGTATTGTTTTTAATAATTTCTAATTTATAATAATCATTGTAGTTAAAATAGTAGTAGTTCAAGTTGTAAGTATTTAGCTTTTTTAAAATAATAGTTAATATTGTAAAAAAAAATATAATAAAGAATAACAAATAAGTAGTTATAACAAATAAAAAGTGTACCAAATAAGAAGTATAACAAATAAGAAGTATAACAAATAGAAAGAATAACAAATAAAAAGTATGCCAAATAAGAAGTATGACAAATAAGAAATATTATAAATAAGAATAATATTAATATAATAGTTAAGTGATTAATATAATCTATATATACCAAATTTGTATAAATTAGATTAAGACCAATTTGATAAAATTATATTTTATAAAAATAGATAAAACAAAAATAAGAATTTTTATAATTTGATTACTATTATTGATTTATAAAATTGTTTTACAAATTTGAACCTTTTATATAACAAAATAATTTTAAAAAAAAGACAACAATTAAATATTTTTTATTTTTTTATTTTTTTTTTAAGGTGAAGTCTTGCTTGTATCTTTATTAAGTAATTTATAAAATAGTAACATATGTGCAGTATATATATTTCTACTATTT